CTAAATGAATAAACATGCTGGAATGTGCCCCCCACTTCCAGCTAAAAAACCTTTCTGAGCTGCCAGTAAAGAAAGTGGAGGTCATCTTTTAAAGAGAAAGGTCGTGTGATCAGCCAGGGATAAGCAAAATATTGGGGGGGGGAAATGGTAACATGATGTTGATTCTATGGACTTCTGTGGCAACTTTTCCTCGCAGCCCCTTTAACGGACATCCGGAGTCAGGAGAAAAGACTAAGAAAGACAATGACTTTTAACTTGGAACTTCATTATTTAGTGGTATTCCCTGCTTTAAAGGACATTTTCTGTCTGTTTTGGGGAGGAGGAGGAGGTGAATAATTTTGCTAATGTCTAAAGCTACGTAATTGGAGAAAATGGAGGGAATCCTTACCCAAAAAAAGGCGTACCTTCTATCAACAAGCTAAGCTAAAGTTAGCAGCAGCTCAGCTCACATACCCTCTCAACATGTTTTGTGCCTATGACCATTTGAGTCTACATTTTTAAATGTGAAAGTGCTTTATAGAGTAATTTTTGTTGATCTATTATTGTTTTTTTTATTATGTAATAGCCAACATTAGTTCATCATCTTTAATTGACTGCTCAGCTGTACGTGCCTTGTACATGAGGCCAAAGACTTTCTCCACATCAGGACTGGAGGAAGAAAGGCGAGCCAGTAAGGGGTCTTCGTAGCCCCACAGCAACTCATCCACGGTGCGCGTGGTGAAGAGGCCGCTCCCCAAATTGTTCATCATGATGGATATAAACGAGGCTTTAAAGAAATTATTTTTCAACTTCTCCATCACAGCCTGGAGACAGAAAGGTGGAGCAGAATAGGAAATAATGGGACAGAATACAGGATGGGTAAAGTGGGCAATCCAATTCCCCCCATTTGGATTTACACTCCTCCACTTGGCGGAGACCTTCAGTACATTACTCACCCAAGCAGGGATGTTGACAGTGGTGATGCTATCAACAGTTGGGTCACCCACAGACTTGTCACTCAGGAACACAAAGCTTTTGGTGTTGTAGGCGGACACTCTGGTGCCGTTTTCCACCATGGTCACATTTTCCTTATACCTGTACTCCCTGGGGAAACACATTCAAACATTGGATTATCTTTTTTTCATGAAGTTTTCTTGAATCTTTTCTGTACACACAAGAGTATCACAGACCAATGACACAACTTTTTACTTCAAACACAGCTTCCATTTGAGCCAAGGAAGCCGATAAAGTTAGATATAGGTGAGATTGTGGCGGTGGATGATCTTAAATGCACTCTGGCTGTTGTAACATTTTTGGTGCTTCAGCATTGAACCTTGATATTTATTTAAGGGTTCTATTGGGGGCATCAGACATGATTCCAAAAGTCTACTCTTCACAGCGTTTCTCTTCAGGTCTCCAAAAAGGTGGAAATAACATACTCTATTATGGGTACACAGGTGGTGGAATAAAAATTAACTAATTTGGCTCATTTTTATGCTTACAATAAGTGTGAGATTCTAAACTAAAAAAAAAGCAGATTCTGAATTTAAATAAAGATTTTTGAGGATATTTTAACTGGAATACAAATAACTTTTCCATATCAGTCGATCGAATGGCTGCTTTCTGAAACAAATCACTTAATTTAAGAGTCTTCCAACAATATTATACCATGGATCAAGATATGTTAGGAAGCTCTGCTACATGTGCTGCAAACAGTGCTGACAGTATTTCACAAATGCCCTCCTGAATATTTGTAGAAAATTTCAGGACACCCTGCCCCTGACCTTTTCTTGAGTTGCCCTTACGTGGCCCTCACAGCAGGGGGAGTGAAGGGTCAGGATGCCAATTTGACTCATTGCGTTACCATTATACCTCACGCTCAAAGTTAATTTACATTTAACCATTTATTGCTAAATGGAAATACAGTTTCACCTGGCTCTGCTATAAAGATGCTTCCTGGGTTAGTTGAGCAGCACGCAACAGCTTTCCAGGGAGCGCTATGCTAAACCCCCTGTACTGGGGGTACTTTAGGCAAGAAGGAAGTAGGCTGGGGTGGTGGAGACAAAGCTTTGCCAGCAGCAGCGCAGTGTGAGAAGCATTGGTGTAGCAGGGATAAGTGAGGATGAAGTCATGGTTAAATGGGCCGCCTTGTTGTGAGAATGAGCTGTGATTGGTTTGGTTAGAGAGTGATAAAAAGCCATAAATCAATCAACAGGCTATCCTGATGATATCGTTTTCATGGGCCACATATGGCTGTTTTTTTTTTTTTGCAGTTTCAGCTAACTTGAACATTTTGGGACATTTCAGGAGTGCAGTTTATTTGTGAAGAGTTTGCAGTGAAATAAGTCCACATTTTACTAGTAGTTCAGTAAGCAGCTTTGACACATACTATGAAAAAAATTTCACAACACTTCACGATGTAGTTAAGTTTTTGTGGCAGAATGTGCACTTTTCATTAACGTGCTCTTGCATCCTACCTGTACGTGTAGGGTCCGACCTGAGTGACCTCTGGCTTGGACCCTTTAAGGAACTGGTCCACATTGGTCACGTTGAAGAAGAAATACTCCATGTAGACGGGAGGGGGAGGGGTTTTCCATGACTCAAACACACGGCTGCCCTCTACCAACACTATCTCCTGTTGGGACATAAAGAATGCATCTCATCAAATCCAAACATCATTGAATCACATACATATGTGTGGGAGGTATTCTATAAAATCATAAACACTATGGTAAATATAAATAAAACAAACTTAATTTATGAGTTCACTGTTTTCCTTTTATGGTTGCTGTCGTCTGGTGATGCATTTGCTGCACACATATTTGAGATAGTTAACACGTGTTTTGAATCTGGCGTTTCAACAATCTCTCAAAACAACCCGGAGAACGAAAACATCCTTGGGTAGGGGGGCTGTCTGAGCGTCGGACAAGACCATTGGCTGCCCAAATAAATGGCATTAGGGGAGACCCTTTCATTGTGAGCTGTTACCAATGACAACCAGCACTCTCCGGAGAGAGACGCTGACAAATCATGTGATGCAGGGAGTTGGATGCCCACTGGTTTCCCTCAGGACTGAGAACTTTAATGATCTGAGCCGCATTCCTCTGTGCTGAGACCTATAACCCTGAGGTACAGCACAGGCTAAATCCTGCACGGTACTGTTTTAGCATGAGTGCTCAAGAAAACTGCCGCTGAAGATGTCTTTGCCTCGGGAGTTTTGTAACCTTCTACTCTACAGGAAACTTTCGAAGACTTGTAAAACAAGGGAGTGAGAGAAAAAAAAAAAGGGTGAAGGAAGGATTAAGAATTCTTTAGACAAATCGAGAGGAAATCTCACTTTGGCCTAATTGTGTCAGATTTGTGTTAAAGATAAAAGTAAGCTCAGAGGGTTGAACACACCAACAGGTCCCATTATTTCAGGGGCGTACAGACCCCCTCCTCTGTTGGGGTCCCTTTTACTTGTACACAGACAAAAGTTTAGTTGAGTAGCCAAGGACAATAAAGCTGTCGCCTTAGATTGAGGAAGGGAGCGCATGGTTGTTTCTATGTCCTATTTTCATGCAACGAACAATCAATATGTTAACCCTCCCAGCATGCTACATGAAATACCACATGGAAAACAGGAACAGAGAAAGCCTCTCATCTCAGTGCTTACCACCGCTACTCTCACACCACTCCCCGTTTGAAAACACATGAAGCAGGTGAATACACAAATACACACACTGCAAGAGCTTTGATGTTGAGACAGGCAAAAACATAGACGTGAATAACACCAGGCACAGCCAGAGGCTATTCATTAAATCCTGAAGTCGTGCTGCAAAAGCTTTGCATACTCCAAATGGGTTTGCCTCTATAGAGGTCAAACAACTTACAAAGCTCTACACGCGGAGCTGTAGTCCAGCCCTATCAAAGTTATATTAAGGTCAATTCAATGAAAGGAAGGCAAATTGACTACTCTAAAGATCATAAAACACTCAATTAAATCCATTTAAAGTACTTATTTAAACACCAAAATGTCTTTTGACAAATTGGAAAGTCTCACAACCTGTTAAAGCAATGAACCTTTGGCATAGCAACGCTCAGCCGAACCCCTTTATGGAAATAAGCGAGCAATTTAGCTTTTACAGAATCATTTCAGAACTACGGCAAAACCATTTTTCAAAAGAGCAAATGCTCCAAGTTTAGTCCAGTCTTTTTAATACTGATGCAATATTGGATTTAGCAGAGTGTTTCAGATTATTCTTATGGTTTAATAAAATGTCTTAATAATTCTCCTTGTATTAAACCCGCCTTGTACGCAAAAGTTCCAACCAGGGAAGAAATCATTCTAAGAGGGGAGGACCAGAAGCACCAGATAAATGTAAGAATGCGTTTGGAAGTTTGTCTTTTTTCCAGGCTTTGAAGATATGTCCATTTGTATCTCTAGACCATAAATGGATGTCATTGAACATTCTCAAACTGAACAGTAATAAAACAGAGCTCTTGGTTATAGCCACTAAGGCGCTGCTCCGGAAGGCTGGAGATCTTCTCCTCAATGTCGATGGCTGCTCCATCTGCCCATCCCCGGAAGTCCATAACCTGGGTGTCATTCTGGACTCCACCCTATCATTCCAGTCACACATCAAATTCATCACCAAATTTGCATTCTACCAACTCAAACACATCTCCAGACTCTGGCCATCACTCACAGACCCTGTTGCAGAATCTGTCATACAATCTTCATCACTTTTTCGTCTGGATTATGGCAATGGCGTCCTGTCTGGGGTACCTAGCGAAACCCTGTACAGGCTCCAGTATGTGCAGAACTCAGCTGCCAGGGTTCTCACCCGCACAAAGCCCTGGCAGCACATCAGTCCCACCCTCATCCATCTTCACTGGCTCCCGGTCAAGTCCCACATCACATACAAGAACACCCTCAACTACAAATCCCCCCCAAGTACCTTTCTGATCTCCTACACCCCTACACTCCGTCCCAGAACCTCTGACACTGGTTTGCTCTCCATCTCCCACACAGGCAGACTTTTGGCGGCAGAGCTTTCGTTTTGGCAGCCCCAACCCTCTGGAACTCTCCTGGCAGTAATACTAGTGCAATGCCACATCCTTGGATATATTCAAAAACCTTTTGAAAATCCACATGTTCAACTCCATTCATGGACTTCATTAATTGTTTTGTCTTGTGTTCTCATGTGTTCTGTGATAAAGACACAAAATGTATATCTTATTCCAGGGGAGAAAACTTTTGGATTTTGGATTAATGTTATTGCCTTTCTACTGTTGGCACTGTCAAAATGAAGAACACATTTTATTTGCAACTGGCTATATTCCAGGAATGTAGCCCAAACTCTATGAGATAAACATGTTTATGTCAAATCTACAACTATCAAGGAAACACAGATTTTTACTGGGAAGGGGCCCCTGGCTACTGGCTAGTTATGTCTAATCTGATCTAGATGTCAAATTATCAAATGACTCTTAAGGGAACAGTCATTTTTTCACCATCACCTCAACAGCAGGTCATTGCATACTGACCCTGTTTCACTCACATAAAAGCTCCCAGACAAGTTAGTTTCTCAATAAACTTAGGAGTGTGAAAGAGGCTTAGCACACAAAGAGAGTCGACTGCTGAGAGGTTATCCATGAAGTGAGATCCTTCACACCAATACAGCTGCTGTTAGCTAGTAACATGATACATGGAATATAAATCATACTGCAAGGCTAGAAGTTATACATGCCAGCATGTGAGAGCTGTGTGCCAAACCCACATCTATATTTCACTGAGTCAGACTCCAATTGAACCTGAATATGAACTTTGACCACAATTAGTAAGATTGTTGCTGTTGTATATGGGCTAAGGCCAGACTCTATTTTCAATTGGTGATAAGACGCTTTCTAATAAACTCTCTCTGTACTGAACATGGTATGAAAAACACACATTTTTCAAAGCCCTGCCTCAATCCTTCTAAACTATTTAAACTACAACAGCAGGACACACTCGAAACATATAATTTAGGACACAGAGGCCATGCCCTTTGTATTCTTTTTGTCTTTTTATGTCTCTCAAATTTACACTTAACTTTGAGTTGCGTGTCAAAGAATTGACACCTGTTGAATGATTTAAAACTAAAGCACCAAGTACAGAAAGAAAACAAAGCTCTGTCACTCAACTTTCCCCATATTCTCTTGTAAGTTTATGTCCTGGTTACGCAACCCAACACTTTTGTTTTATGCTGAAAAAGATACTGATTGCACCTGACTTGAGGTTTCTGGATGGGTCCATAAAAGCATCTACATAAACAAAGCCAACCAGGGCTTTTGAAATTGGAGCCCTACCAAACTGTCTTTAGGCTAAAGGCTTAGAGTAAACAGTGTAATTTATCAGCATAACTGACACCCGTAAGTAAATATTGACATGTAAATGTGGTTGGTAAACGACACTCAACTGTCAATGAGGCATGTTTTAGCTGTTTTGTCAATTAATTCAACAGGAGTGTAGTCCGTTTGAGTTTCGTTCCAGCAGGAGGAAACTATCTGAGACATGGAAGTGTCAAAAAATAATATAAACTCATCCAATGCGACCAAGTCTGATTCAAAATGTTGTAAAATGTGACCTCCGGCCAACGTTTAACTCCTCAAGAAAATGTCATGACACTAGAACGACCGGCATTCTATCACTACTAGAAAGGCCATAGCAGTCAGTTTGACTGTTTACTAATTTTTTGCATATCATTTCAATAATCAATATCAAATATAAGAATAAATGGATCTGTAATGTTGTGAAAGGTATAATAAACTTCAGGACACAAACATAAAATTCTAATGAATTTGAAATTTGAATAGTTTATCGACAACTAGGAAACAGCAGCCGGCGTTTTTTGCGAATGGGAATGATCTCTGTATCATTCTCAGGTTCAATCTCAGAGCCAGTGTCAGATGAAGTTTCGAGAGACCAGGAGACATCACCTTCCGTATCCGAACCTGCGCCACCATCAGACTGTGCCTCATCAAGGCTCTGGAGCATGGCTAAAGCCTCTGTGGCAGCAATCCTCCTCCTTCCTGACATTTCGTTCTATTCTGTTCTAAATCAGATCTTAATTTACTCTATTCTGCCTTTTCAATGTTGATTAATTCAAATGTATGTCTCCTATTCTTTCTATATGGTTTTAGGCGGGTAAGCTTTCTTTCCTCCTTGGCTCGAGCGTTATAAACAATAGTTGCTAGGCAACAGCGAGGCGCACCTTCAAGTAGGGGTGGGCGATATAACGATCTTAGATCGTGAAGGATTTTAACTTGCTGACGATCTGCCAAAGCAGAGAGATGGTAGAACCGGGCTAATGTGTTTATTCTATCATGCTGCAGTTTATGCTCCGACACAGACGCGTCTCCCCCTCCCCTTCTGCTCCGCCGCGGTGAAAACGAAACTTAAAAGTAAAGTCCGCAAAAACAACTCCATCTCGGTTATATGCAACTGTTCTGATATTTTTCCAAACCGACACGCTGTGAGCAACAGTTAACTTATCTGCATAGTGTGCACAGTTAAGATTAACCTACAGCTCAGATAGCGACACGGAGAGACGTTAACAGTCAGAGACAGACATGAAGGAGCTCAGACAGTCAGTGGAGATATAACCCCGGTGTTTAAAATGTTGCTGTCGGTGTTTTCTGCTCTCTCTCAGTTTTTAAAAGTTACTATCAAGCCTCTCCACCCGAAGCTCACCTGTTGTGATAACGGAAACTATAGGGATTACACTAAACGATGTTACAAAGCAGCAGGCAGGTGAGAGTGAGTAACCATGGTGACTGTCTGTCAATCAACAATGTCCCGCCCCCTCTATGAATTAAACTCTTCTATCAGTAAAACTTACTTTGATCATGTGTCACAGAATTAACACATTCTGTATTATGTTTGATTATATATAAACAAAACTAAAGTTAGTCCAATGATGTCATAAAAAACAACAAAGGCTGCAGAGCCTGAAGCTACAGCTGGAGGAACTCTGCAGGGCTAAAATAGAACAGAAACACAAGAACTCAAAGTCTACATGTTTTTAAATGAATGCATCACTGCGTGAAAATGTTCCTGATGAACATAAAAAGAGGACACATAACTAAATCATAATTTCAAAGTGGTGAGGAAAACCTTCAAATTGTGCATAAATATTGATCAAATTGAGGGAAAGACATTTCTGGTGCTAAAGATGTTCTGGGTGAGAGACCTCCAGACCTCCTACAAAGGTGTTTTTCAAATAGATTAAACTTGTCTGCACAGTTTTTGTGCATTTAAAAACATTATACAGGGAAATAAGTTTGGTTGAACTGGTCAGTAACTTACAAATTTGTCTAAAGATCAGTATGAAAAAAATCGTGATAAAATCGTGACAGTGATTTTGCCAAAAATAAATCGTGATATGATATTTTGCCCATATCACCCACCTCTACCTTCAAGAGTGGGAAAAAGTAGGGAATACCGAAACGATACACTGGCTATAATGCATGCAGTCAATATGACCGCTATGGACTTTCAAGGTAGAAATACTCAAAATTCTTTTGTGTTTTGTGTTTTTGATAAAATAACAATGCTAGAATAAAATATAGACACATTTAGGAAAAGTCATGGTCCTGTAGTTACATAGGTTTTATTTTAAGTAAGTTATTACATTGCAAAATTAAAAAACAGTCAAACTGACTGCCTTGGTCTTTCTAGTGTTAAGTAGCAGTATCAGCACCAACTCCTCCAACTAGAAAAACCCTGTGAATGTACCTGCTGACTATTAGAGTCAACATTAAGCAGGTTTGAGATGAAAATAAGGATGAAGGTGGGCCATGTGATAACACTGAATGGGGGCCAAGTGTACTTTCACGCCCGCTTTGTTATCAAAGTAAAGTGAAACTCCTGGGAAAGCTTTAAACCTCACTGTCTGGCGCAGTCGTCAGTATTGGAAATACAGAAAGACTCTGGACCTTAACCTACACGGTCAAAGGGTAAATTAACAACAAGAAAAATTCACTTTGGGTCTAAAGCATGTTTACTGATGCTGTGCAAATGCTTTCAGTTGTGCAAATGAACCAAATGTAAATATCTACAGATGTTTGTGTTTAATGCTCTTTAATGAGACTGTTTGGAATCATGACCCATTGACATCTTGGATTGAAGATTAAAAATCAAAGAGATCTATAGAACTACAGAGTTAAACATGAAGACTTAAATGAGAGAGCGGTGTGTGTGTAAATATTTATGTTTACGTGCGTTTTATATATCCATCTCACATCAGATTTGAACATAAGTGATCAAGCCACATTCACCGCCCTTCCTCCCCGTGGACACAATTTGATGCATCTGCCAAGTTGAACACAGCCTTCAGAGAAAACTTCACTTTTCTGTCTCTACATTCTTCTTGTCCATGAAGTATCTATGCATCTGTTTACAATCTGCACCTCCCATCATCAGTCACTGCTGTTGCTCAGACATCATCCCATCAGACTAGAGGTTCAGAAAATCACAGGAAAATAATAAAAAAAAAAACATCTTCTCATCTCTGATAACACATTAACTAAGTTTTAAATAAACATGTACATTCTCAACAGAAGCATGAAGAAAGAGAAGGAAAAACATTCATTGTTTACTAAAGATGCTGCCATTCTAGTAAGACCGAGCAAAAACCTGAGCAGTGCGCTTAGCTAATGCTAACTGTAGCCTCGCGTTACTCTCCAAGCTATTTTTTTCATATTGACCATGTTCAAAACATTTCCAGTTTCTTCTCATGTTAAGATTTCCGAGTCATAGTTCCAGGGTTGAAGTTGTATAAATGTTGGGTACCAGACAAATTGAGAGACAATGGAAAGTAAAAATAAACAAGAGGGACATTGGGTAATATTCGAGCTGACGGAACATGTTTTATAACGCATACACAAGTGTCAGGCATCAGTAAATAGTGTATTAGTATTTAACCACTTCCTAGTTAACATTTCATTAGCTTAGAAGAATCTCCGCAGGGGGAATTGTTTCACTGCGACAACCACACACTATTGTATGATGATTTAAGCATTCTCACACTTCCCAGCTAATGGTTATGTTGGTTCAATGCTAACAATAGCTCTTGTTTAAAACTATAGCTGATGGGTTATCAAATTATTTGTTTTAGCTTGAAGTGTTGCCAGATTTGCATCCCAATTTCCACTGTTCTCTATCCTTGCAGTTGCACAACAGCTTAAGCTTCCTACTCTGAGTGTAAAAGGCAGCGAAGTTTCCAAAGTGTGAATATGCTTAACTTAGTTGCAAACTTTTTTCAACTCTCATGTTGGGGCGTTTTTTCAGAGTTAGGTGTCTTCTGGTCACTTCTATTGTTCTCATCAGATGATTAGCATTTCTGTATTTGGAGAATGTTTCTGTACACTTAGTCTTCAAATGTGCACACTTTGTCTATTTGCATAATATTTTGTTAAGGTTGCAGTCCTTTGAGCTTCCCTCAAAGTAGGACATAAGAAGTGTAAAGATGTGGTGTGCAAATTTGGGATATCTACTTTTCCATATACAGCATTTTTAAACTTGTGGTTGGACAAAACAAATATTCTACAGATGTCATCCTGACTTTTTCTTTTAACACTACACTGTAGACTCTTCATGACTAGAATGTAATAAGCCCCTGTGGGACTATACCTCCCACGCTTGATTTTCCTCCCATCAGATGCATTAAAGCCACTAACAACACGTTCTTTATCTCACATTCATAAAGCAGACTGTCCTTAAGAGGTCAGCTCATACTATCCTTTTCATTTTTAAGCTCAGTTCTAATCCATGAATGTTAAGAATGAGGCTTTGTGAATCAAGCCAGGCTTTAGTGTCTAATGTGTGACCAGCTGGACTAAACTCAAACTGAAGTCTTTACTAATTGACATTATTACATTTGTGTGGAACAAAACCTCCCATTTAACTCCATTTTCTCAGAGCAGCAGCTTTTTCATGAGTTAAAAATACTGATCAATACTAAGAAGAAGCAAAACCAACCCAGCCCCTTAGCCTACATATTCTGGGCTGTGGAATTTGCATTAACCACATCCTTTCCTAATGACAAAAAGTGAAGGCACACCAGCAGACAATTGGGAATTCCTTCGGATCCAGCATCAGATAAAGACTTAAGAGACAATGCAGGATAATGGAAAATAACTTGTGTCTCAAGCTTAAAGTGGCTGACTAATCTAACTGTGGAAGAAGAGAAAGTACTGATTGCAAAAAAAAAAAGGCTGTCCTGAACCCTTAATAACACCACCTCCACCTTCTCAGGGAGTTTGAACTGCTTATTAGAGCCTCTCCTTCTGGGAGGCAACACACAGCCCTGTCATCACTGTCTATCCCAAACACATCACAAGCCCTAACAGCAGTCACTGGACTGTTATGACAAAAGCAATCAAGGAGGCATCACATTCATGCATGATAACCAATAAGCAACAGCAAACAACAGCAGGGAAGTTTGTTCTGCTGCTTCATTTCCCGCCCCAGAAAGTGTTGCTTTTTTTATTTATTTTTTTATACCTGAGTCATGCAAAACACCTTTTTATAATGAGCTAGATTTAATCTTAAAAGCATGCCATTTGTAATTTATGACTGGTAATGTCCTGCTCTGAATACAAGGAAGTTAAACTGTCAAACAAAGTGATGAACTTTCGATGTGGCGACCAGTGACCACAGTTTGCAAACACAAAAGTAGACTGCGCAATTCAGCACATGATTACCCCCCCCCGTCATTATTAACAGGCAGAACCTGCAGAATCTGCCTGTTAACAGCGATGCATTCAAGGAAATAAATCATGAGTGAAGCAGTCATACACGAGCGTGCTTTGTACATTTAAAACAATTTTAAAAAAAATGTTTTACCTTTTTCAGGCGTTCTTGCATGAAGGTACGGAAAACTTGACCCACGATTAAGCCAAGCCCAACGACCAGCAGGGAAGCGCAGATGAGCCCCACCGCATAAATCGCGCAGGACCTTCGCGTCATGTTTGCAGGTGGCAGCAACCCAGCAAAGGATGAATGGAGACTACACCTCTTCGTGCTCCGCTCCTACACCAGACGTCCCGTTAGATGCACAGTGTGAGATTCAAGAGCTCAAACTCACGCTACTTTCCCTTTATTTTGTTGCAAGTTTCGAGCAACTATAAGTAACGGTGGGAGTTGTTCGGTTTGTCCAGTTTCAGAGTTACAAAAAAAAAAAGTTGATAGTAGCCTATGTCTGTTTACTTTGGGTTAATGATAAAGCGGTTTCAGTTTGACAGCCACGAGGAACACCCGAGTCAGCTCGGGGTGGCAACAACAAGTCCCACACATTGAACAGAAAGAGAACTGCCACGGAGTATATCTGTAGCGGGCTGTAATGTCTCCTCCGCCTTCCTCGCAGGGGACGAAGCTGATTGGTCGTTACCCTCGTGAGACGAGCGTGGGACGAGCCCCCGACCTGCAACCGTTACAGCTTCAAGGACAAGCAGTTGAATCATTTCGAGGGTGATCAAAACTTTATTGCACTTTTAGTACAGCATGTGACCTTTTCACACACTCTGGGTGACTTTACTGGGAGGCTGCATGAATTACTGTCAGGCTAAAGGGTCAGGCTTTTTTTTTTTTTTTTTTGCCAAAGTAGAAACAGGTTTAAATCTAAAAAAATACTTTTTAAATAAGCTAATGCATGTTGACATGTTTTTTATGGCTTACATGGGTTGCCTACTTGAAAACAGTAAAGATGTACGGAAGCCTATTTCTGCCAGTAAAGGAATAAAATTGATAAAAACTTAGCTTTGATAATACAAAAATCAGCCTACACATATCAAGGCATTACAATGGAATTAAAATGAAAACTTATGGGATGGAAAAAAAGGAAAAAATACTTTTTTAAAAAATACATTATTGTGACAATAAAAAAGGATATGGATAGAAAGTTATAATTCTGATATTAAAAAAAATTAGAAAAACCAAGATAATAGAAAATATGCAAACATTAATATACTTAGACAGGGCGCTGATGGCCTACCTAGAGGTTTGGTAGCGCCCCATGTATGACGGGTAAAGTGCCACAATTTGGAAGCCATGGTCGGAATCCTACCTGTCGATTCTTTCCTCCATCCCATTAAAGGCATATAAGCCCAAAAAGAAAATCTTTTTTTGAAATATGACAATTTAAACTTCATCACATTTACATTTTTTTTTTTACTTATGAGTGTTATAATTATGACTTTTACGTAATTATTCCAGCTTTTCATGATACACTATATTTTTATAAAGGCTGAATTGAATCTTCTTTTATTCTTTTTTTCTGGCAGTAATGGGCCTCCATAGATTTTCTTACTGTACAAGTCAAAATGTCTGCTGTGTAAAAGGCCTATTGTATTCAAATTTTCAATCAGTCTGGTCATCATGTAAAGTCACCTAAGGACAAGCGCCGCTAGGCTATGGGACGTAACACTACTTTGACTGTGACAGTTTACCTCACGCCTAGTCATTAGGTGTTTCACCTAAACACAGAGCCCACTAATCTCCATACACAACAAGGCCAGACACTCAGCAACAAGCTCACTTGGGCTTATTTTTAAGAGTAACAGATATCCATTGCTGTAAATTCTTCAGTAAATACACTAAACATTTCCGGTTCTTTCGTCACTTCAAAAGATTTTCTCCATCAGACTTACTGCAGGGCATTAGGTCACGGTTATGATTCTGAGGGGAAGGATTTTAGGATGTAGTTGACACAGAGAAATGGAGCAAAGTAAAAGGTGGTAGAATAGCCTGAAGTAGTCTACGTGTTTTCAAGAGGAAGAAGGTTAAAAGCTCAATTCAGAGAACAGCTTAGCAAAATATCTAAAGAGTTTGAAACTGCTTTCCTGCTCAAAAGCTCAACACCAACCGTTCTGTTAAACATCAACATGTCATCAGTTAGTTTCACTTCATGTCATGCTTCCTTCCCTTCATATCTGCAAAGAGTTCACAAATAGAGTACTGTCATTAAGTCCCTAAATAACTGTGAAAGTGAGCATGGCCTACTCTAAAAGGGGTAGTTACCACATCATGTTCTTCACAGTTCTTTGACCACAAATGTGACAAACCCTGATCCGGGTCAACTGACTTATCTGATCATTTCTGCTTTACTAGACTAAATATAAAATGAGGTAATGTAAAAAAGGCTACAGGGCAGAGAGTACATCATATAGTACATATTGTCCGACATGAACCCTGACACAGTGGGATGTGTGCACGGTCAACAAACCCTAAAGGACAGGTTTGCAATATTTCAAATGTGTCTTAGAACAGCACCTTTTCTATCATAAATAATAAATGTATTTTCAAAAACCCTAAATTTTGGTATGGCAAACTTGCTGGCAAAAATTTGCTTTTTTCATACATCCATCATCCATGAAGTAACAACATCATTCATCTGAGAACATATTTCTCTCGATTTGGAAATGACAGTTCAAAATGCTGTGTTTTTTTTTTTATTTGGCTCTGTTTTTGGTCACTTCCGACTCCCAAGGGAAATGTATCAGTCTTTAGTTGCTAAATGATACATTATGTTCTCCAGCCAGATGTTATGTGTCTGTCTGCTGTTTTTTTCTTGGCAGGTAGTCTTGTCACACTCTGGAAAAACACTGAACTGCACCCAATTGCAAATCTCAAAAAGAATATATTTAAAGAGCCAGTATTATGCCCTTTTTGGGGTTCGTATATTTAATCTATGTACCTACTTTTGTATGTTCACAATAGCTAAAGTCCGAAAAAAAAGTGTCTGTTTTCATGTACTGCTCCTCCTTGCTCCCTCTACGCTCTGAGTCCGTCAGCTACGCTCTGTTGAGCCCACACTGTTAGACCCCACGTGGGCCAAGTCTGCTCTGATTGGTCTGCCGATCTGCTCTGTCGTTATTGGTCAGTTGCTCAGCACGCGTCTCGGAAATTTCAACATGAGCTGCAGGGCTTGCCACAACGAGCCAATGGGCTTAGATCAGTGATCTCACACTGACAATGACGCCGCACTGACAAATTTTTATCGAAGGGGGGCTAGAACCGAGCGTTACATGCAGCTAATGCTACAGCTAACAGGAGGATGTAGGAGAAGCCGCGTTTCCGCAGACTTTGAATTTTTGCACACAGATGTGCCTAAACATGCACAGGACACTTGGAAAACACACTAAAGAGCATATAAAACCAGAAAAAGCATAATATGGGACCTTTAAACAAAGAGGGCAAACAAAATCTTACTTAGATTCAAACAGAGTCCAAATAAATATTCCAAACTAGACAAGGAGACATGAGGAAGTAAACTTGAGACAAAAACTCAGGTAGGAAAACGTCTGACATCGGGGATAACCTGACAATGAATTAACACAGAAGGGAAGAATCACAGAGACTAAATACAAGAGGCAATCAAACGCTGGTGAGACAAACGACACAGGTCAAGACAATAAGGGCAATCAAAACTGGTGGTTAACACATAGGCAGGAGTAAGACAAGAAACACTGGAGAAAAGTGTAAAGATAGCCAAGTGGCTTTAGGCCCAAAAATGAGTGAATATATTTATAGAAGGTGCAGACCCTGAGAAAAATTGAAAAATAGGAAGGAAGGAAAGTAACAAATTGCAAAAAGTGACAAACAATAGAAGAGACGGAGCTCTACACAATGCCAGTCTGGGCCTTTGCAGCTCTTTACACTCTTGGAGTATTGTCAAAGAACTCTCCAACACTGTGCCACTCAAAACCTGTATGGCTCTCAAGCCTCCTCTTATAAAGGAGTTGGCACCTAAAGAGGTTAGAAATCAATTAACTCTCAGGAGAGTATTACGTGTTCTGCAAACAACACAAAATACCTGCGATAAGGCTATAAGCATATCAAAAGACATTTCAATTAAGTAAATACTTCAACAGCCATTTAAAAAACACATTTAATCTCAACAATTGAAACACCTAACTCTACCAAATTTGGCACCTTCCACTTGGTACACCCTCATATAAACCAGGATCCAGCTCTGTTTGACTGACAGTTCCTGGTTGAGAAAGAGGAGTGCAAGCAAGGCTGTGGAGCAACTGATGACTAACAAAGTCCCTCTGCACCTTTAAGAAAAAGCTAAAGACCCAGCTCTTTCATGAATACCTACTAACTGATGGTCTTGATATCATTGATGATGATGATGGTTGTCACGATTGTTTTTGTTTGATAACGATGACTTATAAGATGGTTTCTATACTGATTAGAGCTCTCAAGGTTGTGCTTTGCCTATGTGCAATGCCTGTCAGCACCTGTGTGTCCAATCGGACTCAAAGCTGATCGTTTGCTCTTACTGACATAGTTCCCTTTTTTCTAGATCCTTGCTTGTGTTGTACTTACTCTCTGATGTACGTCGCTTTGGATAAAAGCGTCTGCTAAGTGAATTGTAGAATATTTCATGTGAAACAATGAATACAATGTTTTAAATGCTCCCAGAAGGATTGCCACCTTGTTGTGGTCCGGGGGCTTGTGTGCCTCAATGACCCCAAGAGCTATACTGACAGGAGCTTAGACAAAGTATATGAGAGTTACAACCACTTCCTGTTTGACGGCGAATGATGCATCCGTATGGCAAGAGCGTTGGACGTAGGTGTTAGAGCTTGAAAGTGTTGTATGGCCAAGGTGTGCTGTTGGATTTTGAGCATGGATGCAGGAGGGTTTATTGTAGGTGTTGTCAAGATGGATATGCATAGTAAAATTCAGAACAGTAGGTTCAGCGTGCTGCGGGGGCTGAATGTTTGAAATATTGTAGGGGGCACCACTGAGCCGTTAAGCCACGCCCACTCATTTAAACAGTATCAAATGTTTGACTTTACCACCAGGATCATATGTATGAAGTTTCGGGACTGAACGATTATGTTAAGCCCGTGAAAAAACTACTTCCTGTTCGATGGCGACAGCGCGTCCATATGGCGACAGCGTTGGACGTAGGCGTTTGAGCTGAAAGTCTTGTATGGCCAAGGTGTTAGCATGGTCCACACCAATTTTTAGGGGGAAATGAGCTACCATGTAGCAATGGCTAGTGCTAATTGAGAAGCAGGCGATTATTGTGAAATTCAACTTTAATTTGTAGACTTCCTGTTGGGTTTTTTGAAACGCTGGAAGAGGATTTTATGTCCGTCCTGACAAGCTTAATACGTGTAGCAATGTTCATGAATGTGCGTCAAAAAACCCTCTATGGGGAGGCCATTTTGAAAATTTGAAGGGGGCGCCACTGAGCCATTAAGCCACGCCCACTTACTTAAACGATATAAGATGTTTGACTTTAGTACCAGGATTATATGTATGAAGTTTCGGGTCTGTACAACTATGTTAAGCCCATGAAAATACT